ACTCGACAATTTGCTTATAGAAACGATTAAATTAATTCGTAAAATACCATCCCCTTTTGTACTTCTTGATTTTAACACAGTAGCAGCACTTGTTAATTAGGTAGCAGAGACATCTGCCAGGTACCTGTGCAACTTTCTTAAGAGCAGTATGTTCAGTTTAAAGGTTATGTTCTTTAGTGCAATTTGTAAACAAAATCAAAGACGTCTACTATAATTGCAAATTTGTAAAGGAAACGATGAACAAAATTTCCGAACAAACTTGTTAGTATTTTATAGTATAGTATTTTATAATATAGTAAATTTCTGTATGATACAAAAGATAATAATTGATAAGTATTTATGTGACATGTGAAAACGTCGAAATGTATTTAAAAATTTTTATGACTTTGTGCCTTTTCAATTTACACTATGGCTGTGGGGTTTGTATATTCAAATTATTAATATATTTCGTAAATATATTATTATTTATCTGATTTATTGAATTCTAACCTTTGCAGGCACTAGAAGATTTCGTGAAGACCGGTCATTCCAATAATTGGGCAGTATTAGTGGACACCTCACGTTTCTGGTTTAATTACCGTCATGTTGCGAATGTATTATCAATATATCGAAGCGTAAAGCGACTGGGAATACCAGACTCACAAATCATCCTAATGATAGCAGACGACATGGCCTGTAATCCAAGAAATCCTAGACCAGCCACTGTCTTCAATAACATCAAGCAACATATTAATGTTTATGGAGACGATGTAGAAGTAGACTACAGAGGATACGAGGTCACTGTAGAAAATTTTGTTAGATTATTAACTGGAAGATTGGCACCAGAAACACCAAGGTCGAAGAAACTATTAACAGACGAAGGCTCTAACATTTTAATCTATCTCACGGGTCATGGAGGAAATGGATTCTTAAAGTTCCAAGACTCTGAGGAGATTACTAGTCAAGACCTTGGTGATGCACTAGAACAAATGTGGCAGAAGAGAAGATATCATGAAATATTGTTTATTGTTGATACTTGCCAAGCAAGTTCAATGTACGAGAAGTTCTATTCTCCTAACATTTTAGCTGTTGCTTCCAGTTTGGTGGGAGAAGACTCACTCTCTGTAAGATTTATTATTGTATTAAATTTGAACGTAGTGTATATATATATATTTTGAAAACCATAGAAGTATTAATCATTCTTTTGCTTACAGCATCACTTGGATCCAGCCATTGGAGTTTACATTATAGATAGATATACATATTACGCGTTAGATTTCTTAGAGAATGTAGAACCTTCGAGTACCAAGACTTTGGCAGAGTTTGTAAGTTCTAACCAAAGGCACTTTATAATCCAACGATTCTTACAGTTTCATCGTATTAATTTGACTTGTTTTTGTTCTAGCTCAAAGTATGTCCTAAGCATTACTGCTTATCAACCGTAGGTGTAAGGAAAGACTTGTTCAGAAGAGACCCTGAAAAAGTACCAGTCACAGATTTCTTTGGCTCGTTAAGGCCTGTAGAGTTAACTACGTCTATTATGAACGTTTTACCTGTTAAAACGAATACCACTGTTAGACCGGAAAAAAAGTATTCTTATGCTCCACAGTTTCCAGATATATCACAGTTTACATAGTACATAGAGAAATAAATGCCAAAGTTATAAAACAGTCTTAATATCTTAATTCTAAGAATGCTTAAATAAATTACTTTGTACGATACAAAATATGTACATTTCTTGTTAGTAAAACCGAAATTTTTCCCCGATAAGTCATTAAGTGATTCTCGAAAATTGAAAATTTGATGTAATTATTTTTAATTTCACTATTTTACGATAATGCTTCAAAAATTATTCTTCATTCTTTATTCGCCTCGATATTTCGCAATTAATATTGTATTTGTAACCAAAGTGAGAGCGTTTATTTATACATTTAACAAGACATGAGTGAATATTCTTGTCTCCAAAATTTGTATATTGCTCACTTGACATAGTAATACAAAATTAATGTGTACGAGTATGACTCACTGCTATGAAGTGTCGAGGTCAGAGACGTTTCTTACGAACAGTGACATAATAGATAATAAATTTTTATGACGAGACTGATATACATATAATGACACCGATATTTTTTACAAACATTTTTATATGCATATTTATGTCTGAAAATAACCATTAACTTATAATATCTTATGCAACTTTAATTTTTAAAATTTTTCACAATGATCGACCTTAATTGCGTCGTTAATTGTTGTTTTAATTCTACGGATTTAAAGAGGTGTTAACATTTTATCCAGAAATTTGATTTTCATCGAGATACGGTCACAGACAATTTCTAGAATTATCTGTTGCCGTTGAGAAACGGTCTGCATCCGTAATCAGACGGAGAAAAAAGTCTAATTCGCTGAATCATCAACGATGTAAATATTAAACATTTCTCTGTATCATCGATAGCAGTCCATACGCATCATTTTCTGAATACGACAGAGTCGAAAATCTTCGTGATGATTTCATGAAATAGAAGTAGATGACGATAAAGAGACAGATGCGCGTATATAAGTGTGATTATCAGTGACATTTGACGACAGTTAGTGAAGCGCAATTGATACCTCAGGACGGAAATTACAATCTATCTATCAGCTCCTGGTCATATGCAGATTTTACTGAAATCTACTTGTTGATTTATCTGTCTTTTGCAATACTATAAAAAGTAAGTACTCCTAGTGTAACGTTCAAACTACCAATGACGTGATAATTATCTTCACCTTGATGTCATGCAGTATGATCTTATTATTTATGGGATTAAAGATACATGTGCAATGTGAAAAGCCTCATTGAGTACATTAAAAATAAGTAAATCAACTACATTCCAGTGTGTTAGTGAGTTTTCATATTTTTTTAAAAACATAATATACTCGTTTCTTTCGAATTGAAAACACAAATGAAAGCAAATGCCTGAAATGTAAATTATTTACTCTAAGCTTTTTAAATGAAAAGAATTTAGAGGAAATACAATATTTACCGTGTTTTATATTAATTTCATACACTTGTTCTCTCGATTGGAAACAAAACTGAAAAGTGGTAGCTATTAATACAATAATTATAATAACTGAACTTTCTTATGCTGAATTTTTTCCTTGTATATGTATATCAAAAATATATAATATCAGAAATGATTAGAAATAAATTAAAAGAGAATTTAAGATTTTTAACGTGATTAACATTGATTACAAAATATTTAATACTTTCCACAATTGACAACATGCTTCCCTTTTGCAATTTTGTATTATTTCAGATGCGCATTTTAATTTCCCTGACCATTATGTTCGCGCTGAGTGCTCCGTCGCTAGCATTTTCGACAAACAGGATGTCCGATAAGTACGTGGAAGTCCACGAGATTGACACAAATACACTGTCACCTATGGTGCAATTGCCACCTCAGGATCCAGCAATTCATTCGCTGCCAACGGATCCGTCAGTGCCTCTAATTCCAATTTGCACAAGAGAAGGATACTTCCGGGATCCCTTCAACTGCAGAAAATTCTACTACTGTCAAGATGCTGCTGCAATTCCTGCAGGATACTACTGTCATACTGGCCTGATATTCAATACGATCGCTAACGTCTGCGATGTCCCCGAATTCGTACAATGTTGAGCAGCTTTATTATCGAAGAACCCTAGATTACTTCGAGCTGTATGAATGTATTTATTCGTACATGTGTGTGTGTGCGCGCGCGTGTGTGTACATGAGTACATGAGTGTAAATAATTTCTCCACGTTTTGGTTGATGATCAATAGACTGCGGATATTTGCATTTAGGAGAAGCAAATAGTTTCTGCAATTTGCAATATCGAAAGGTAGAAAATTTCAGAGAAAAGAATCCGTTAGAATTATTAAACAAAAAGAATGAAATATTTTTCTTCCGTCTCTTATGCTCTTGTCTTCTGCGATTGGTGCAGAATATTATTTTTCCTCGTGAAGATCGACAGTCTGATGATCAATATTTACTCGACAGTATTTCTTGGATTGTGTGTGTGTGTGTGTGTGTGTAAAATATTTCCATTAGCTACATTATAAGTACTATTTTTGAAATTAGAATGATTGTTGGCAAGTACGACAGCAATATTTTCGTGGACACCTGTTTATAGAAACTGTTTTCGAATAAACGAAAAGCATAATAACGAAAGATTGAGTCCACCCTTTGCCAATGATTTCCCAGTGACTGTTATCGTAGGTCGCCAATGAAACTCTGTCTACAATGAATCATGATTTTATTTGTTATATAATAATATCTACAATAAAAATACCACATCGTTTGAAAAACAATTTTCGTTACAATTATACAGTAATTTTATATAATAATATAATATTTAGGTTTTCGTTCCAAATAAGATGTAGCGATGAACATACACCTCGCAGTGGGGAGTGAGAAAATACATTTTTTTTTGTTGCAAATTCCACATTGATTTCTTCACTCAGTGTTACAAGTTTTTTTTTCTCTTTTTCTCTCTCTCTCTCTCTCTCTCTCTTTCTCTTTCTCTCTTCTGATTTGCAATAGGAAAACGGGCACACCCTCGAAACGACGCCGCGCGCTCGTCTCGTCCTCGTTCCGCTCGTTAACTCGCGGAGAAGAAGAAGAACAAGATGAGGAGGAAGGAGAAGGAGGAGGAGAAGAAGAAGAAGGAGAAGAAGAAGAAGAAGAAGAAGAAGAAGAAGAAGAAGAAGAGTTATCCCCCGTTTCGCTCGAGGAGACGCGGGGCTGTCGTTTCGAGCGTCCCGTTCTTTATTATTATTATTATTATTATTATTTCTCTCTTTTTTTTGTTTGTTTGTTTTTACATATTTCGCGACGCGTGTTCGCCGGCCCGTCTTCTCCTCTCCTTCGTCGTCCCTCCATTTTTCCTGCTCACGTTTTTTTTTCGGTTTCTCTCGTCAGCGAGATATATAGAAATATTGGACTAAAGGTGATCCAACGTTTTTCCTATCCACCTTTCTCCATTGTTAAATGCGAGCCCTCGCTCGCCTAATATTAACTACACTTAGTTAATAGTACCGTAATGTCATCTCAATATATGTATATATGTATATACAATATAAATATATATTATATCATATCATATATCATATCATATATCGTATTGTATCGTGTCGTATCGTATCGTATCCTGTCGTATCGTATCCTATCGTGTCGTATTGTATCGTATCGTATCGTATCGTATCGTATCCTGTCGTATCGTATCCTATCGTGTCGTATTGTATCGTATCGTATCGTATCGTATCGTATCCTGTCGTATCGTATCCTATCGTGTCGTATTGTATCGTATTGTATCGCATCGTATTGTATCGTATCATCTCGTATTGTATCGTATTGTATTGTACCGTATCGTATCGTATCGTATCGTGTCATATCGTGTCGTGACGTATCGTGTCGTGTCGTATTGTGTCGTATCGTATCGTATCGTATCGTATCGTATCGTATCGTATCATATAATATCATATCATATATCATATCATAAACATATACATATATATATATATGTATATATCATATATACATATATCATTGTATTAGTTGCCATAATATATAGAAAATACATATAACAATTATTTAAATGACTCACAATCAATCATTTTTTTTTGTGGTTGTTCTTGTTGCTGCGATTTTTGCCAGGGTGCACATACACGCGCGCACGCACGCACGCTTGCAGGCCTGCGTGCGCGGATGCAGGTGCACTTGCACGCACATGTATACATACACATATTTATATATTTATATTAATCAGTGTGTTAATTTTACATGATATTTTTTTTACACTCGTCGTATAGAGGGAGGGATAGGATGGCGAGGAGGCGTTTATCTTTTGTTTCAGTTTTCCTTTGTGTGAAGAGGGGTTGAAAGGGGTAGAGCACCCGATGGGGGTTGGGATGATTAGATCTCTCGTACATTTACATTGTCTTTGTCGAACTATTAATTTAAAGTGAAACCTAAACCTCTCAGGACTTAGTCGATATCTTACAAACATTTTTTTTGTTTTGTTTCTATGTTGTACTGTTGTACGTATCCTCGCACTAACGAACCATCTCTCTCTCTCTCTCTCTCTTTTTCTCTCGTTCTTTCTCTCTCTTTCTCTCATCACACATACACACGCTCTCGCTTTCTTTCTCATCGTGGTGTCAAATTTGACCGGCACGGAGCAGATTGAATGTTTGTATCGATCCTCAACAATTGAGTCTCGCCTGTCGAGCTCCAAAAAAAGAAGAAGACCGGGCGCGTTATCTCCTCCTGCTCTTCCCATCGTCTTCCGTCGGTGAACACACAAACATTTATCCTGTATAAATTATTCATATATTCATATTTATATTTATATTTATACGCAGGACACCGATCCGTTTCTTGTCATCGACACTCGAGAGATTCGTTCGTCTCGGTTCCGATATTCGATTAGCCCGTTTCCGCCTGACATTTCTACACGGTACAAAACGGCGGATGTTGATCTCTCGCACGCGTTCGAATGAATTTACGGAACATCGCGTCATATTCCCGCGTAAGCTACCCAGCCGTTCGAGCATCATCTTGTCCGATCGAGCTCGGACCATCGAGAAAAGCGGGTTCAATGATTTGCGGATGACGATCTAAAAATACTTTGGAAGAATCGGAGCCGTCCCGGGATCGTCTCTCTAAAAATTTTCTCACGGTTCTAAACGCGATAATTTGTCCGAGAAACCGTCTCGACCCGCCTACTCGTCGAGCGTTCCTCCTCTAAGTCCGTCG